TGAAATAGGTACCGACAAACACTATACATTTGTAATTACCTCACGAATTATTTCTTTAACGGTGGCATTGTTAAATTTATGAAAGGTTTTTAATGCAAAAGTTTGTTTTGAACTTTTCCAATTCGCACAATTGACTTTTCCATAGCTGCCAGTACCGATCTCTTGAAAATTGCTAAAATGTTTGTATTCATAGTATTTGACATTTTTGCTTGAAATATATTCTTCAATCTGATTAATCCATTCATTTGAATCATTGGTAACTTGCATTCTGAATTTTTAATTTTATTTATAACGAAATGAACGAAATGATAATGAAAAGCAAGCAAAAAAAAAAAAAAATACAATTATGTTATGTAACGTTAATTTCTAAGCCACCGGTTATTAATGAATGACCGTACAATCGTCGTAATGCGATCAATCTGGAAAAGGAAACCTTAAGTAAATAATAAATTAATTCTATAATCCAAAAAGGGAAATAAAAAAATAAAAAATAGCAAATATTTTTTTTGTTAATAAGTCACGTGCGTGACAGAGCGGATTTTATAATGGACAATTAAGAATTTTTATTTAAAATTGTCATAATTAATTATTAAATTAAGTTATCTATTTCTTATATAATCGAAAAAGAAATGACATATTAATCGGCTTCAGCATCGACTTTGCCAATTATTCGCAAGAAAACCTCTTCCAAACTAACGAAAATTTTATTTTTAATTAATAACCAAACAAAACATCTCATTTTTTGTCCTCAAAGATTAACTAATTGTACATATATCGTACTTTACTTTATGTTTTCAATTTCTTCAAATAGTTTGGCAATAAGTCCAGGTTGAAGCTCGAATTCATAAGAGAAATAGTAGTAAAAGAATCTAATTTTGTTAATCTTCTCACTTCAGGATCGAAACCGGTAGTAGGTTCATCCAAAAATACAGCGACGGGCTTACCAATCAATGAAATGGCAATAGAAAGGCGACGTTTTTTCACCACCACTAAATCCTTGGATAAGCGATCCGCATAACCTTCCAATCGAACTTGGTTTAAAGCTTGGTTAGCTGCGGTTAATTCATCCTTGGCCTGGATACGAGCATATAAAAGGCAATGTTCAAGAACCGTTAAATCATCCCATAAGATATCATGCTGTGGGCATATTCCGATGCTTCCTGTATACATCACCCATTTGTGTATCTAAATTAGGGATGTTAAACGGTCCTAAACGGTCCTAAAAGTCCCAATAAATTTTCCAGTTCTAGAGAATTTTATTTTGCTGGCGGTATATTTTACTTTCTAGAGACGATGTATTAATTTAATATTTATTAAAAATATATATTAAACTTATGCGGAAATCCAGAATCTAAATTTTTGAAACTTAGGACCGGGTCCCACCTTGGCGGTCCCATGAAAATTGTAGATTTCAAAGTTCATATTTCTTTTAAAAGTTGTTCATAAAATTAATTATAACAATTTTTTAGACTTTTCTATAACTCGTAATTTCTTAATTTGTTCACATTCATTTGGGACCGTTTAACATCCCTAATCTAAATCATAGTCGTTAATCTTGAACTTGGTACATACAAACCGGTAAGGATCGAAATTAAAGTTGTTTTGCCTGGAATAACGCATATTCATAACTTAACATTTCAAATATATAAACTAGTTATAAAAAAATAATTATTTTTTCTTCATAATCTCAACCTCTCTCAATCTTCCATACCTGCACCGTTAGGTTAGGACCAAGTAATCCAAAAATCAAATTTTTATCAACGCTCAAAGTAACTTCTTTGACGGCTAATTTTCCAGAAAGATAAACTTTCTTATACGTTTTACGATCAAAAGGAGAATCTATTCTCTAACGAGGCGATGTCTGCAAACGAAGAAATTGTAGAATCCTCCAGATTATCCGTTGAAGGAATTATTACTCCCAAGAATCATAACTTGCCTATCATACAAATTGATGAGGATAAACATTACACCAAAGAGCTTGATCCAATTCATGAAAAAATTATAAATGTTTGTTATTTTATTGGAAACTATACTTTCGCTACAAAACGTGATTGGATATTAATGGGAATCTTCGCCATCGCTGTTGCTGCTGCTATCGTAAGAAGGAATCAACAAGTGTTCTCTCTCATTTTTTCTTATGTTGTTCGAAATTAAATTATCTCTTTAATGTTTACCTTATCATTATTTAATTAGCCTGCGGTAGCCCGTGTTCGAAAAAATCGATTATGTTATTAAATATTCTTCGTCTAATCACTCTCGTTTCGAACTTTGTTATTTTTCTTTGCCTACGTCATTTTAAAAAAAATTTTTTTTTTGCTTTTTAAAAAATTAAAAAAAAAAGGATTGCGAAAAAATTATTTACGTGCGGCGTTAAGACAAATATTGCGTATTTTGATAAAATTGGCGCCGAGATTGGTGAGGTTACGACAAGAATCACAAATTCATTTGATTCTAATTTACCTTCCTTCTTTTTTTTTTTGTATAAATTAGCATTTGGCACAATTTGTAACAGCCATTACGATAGCATTTTCAAAAGTTGGAAAATGAACCTAGTCATTTAGGTTATTCCCTTTAATTGCAATAAATGGTAGAATATTTAATAAGTTTATTGCCAAGTATAAAGTAAAATTCTAGATTATTGTTCCCATGTCGCTGTTATAGCAGAGGAAGCATTTTCCACATGAGTCTTGTTTGCGGAAAATTTGTCTCTTGGGTTTAATAGGATCAGCATACGAAAACATTGATCCGGATAAGACACATGAAATGATTTATCGATATTGTATAACCTCTTCTCTTTTCTTAACTGGGTTCTTCGTGAAGTTATAACGCCATATTTTGACTAAAACCTTTGCACACTTTCGAACTTTAAAAAATGCTCGAAAAATAATCGGACATAGCCCGGAGGAACGTGTGTCGTATATCATTGAGCCTCTCCGAGTCTATTTATAAGTCTGGAAAAGAATAGAGTTGTCATCCTTTCTTCGAGTTTTCTTACTATGATGAAAGGCTATATATATGGCTTCTCGTTCAGTTTTTATGCAATCAATTATGGTATAGAATTTCTAGAATTCTGGTTTGGATCGATTCCAACATGATACTTGCATTTTAGTTTTCGCTTTATACCAAGGTTCTTGGAGATTAAGCAAGCTTGCTAAAATTTAACATGAATGTTGTTACTGAATTCGAGATCTTTCCTTATACAAAAAAGTGCGTCATCAATATTATTCGCGATTAACAAGAAAATCGAGAGCATTTAATTTTTAAATATTCAGTTTGTATTAATAATCATTCATTTTATTATGTTCAATGCTTACCGAAATAGAATTAAAACAATGAAAATATTATTATTTTTTTTTTTAAAAAAAAAAATGTATGGAACGAGGTAACAAAATAAAAAAATTTTGAATTTAAATTTGATAACATGACAAATCATAATTGAAAATTTAGGAATTTTTAAAACAACTAGAATTAATATTTCAGAGAAAGTACGAAATGATAAAATCGTGTTTTGTACCTTCGTTCACAGCAAATTCGAAGGATTTTAAGCAATTGTAATTTAATAATTATTTTATAAATATGTATTAAGAATATAAAATATACCGTCGAATTCTATTTTTCGTAAGTAAGTTTACATGGTGGGCTACATGGGTCTATGATTATTAGCTTAACCATGATCCGTAATGTGATTTTACTGCTCCCATGTCGATTTATTATCACATGATTTATTAAAAAATTGTTCTAAAATGTTCTAAAATGTTCGAAAATCATTTGGACGCGTTGTTATTTTTTCATTGCATGACGTAACGCGTAAGAATACTATATAATACCTCATCATTCTTTTCAATTTGAAAACCTTTCTTTTTTTTTTAACAATTTTAAAAACATCAAGCATGATTATATTAATAATTTTAATGAGTGTTTAAGCTAAAATTATGACGAAGTTAAGATTTTTCGAAAGGAAGTCATAAGCGAAGCGAAGAACGATACGATACTTGTAATGGTGTGTATATGTGAGCTGTTTATTAAAAGACGACCAACTGTAATTTATGTATTTGAACTTTATTGCGCTTTTTGCCCCAAATGTAAATAGGTAAAAAAAAAAGAAGTTTTTTGCAGATTTAACCTACGCCCAACTTTCTTGATGAAGAGGTATGTTTTTACATATATTGTTAGCAAGCCCCTGGATTTGTCCTTTGAGCGAGTGTGCATGGGACGGTTCATACTGCCTCGAAGTGTTGCGGTCGACGCCTAACATAAAAC